GCTGCTTCACAGAGGGATTCTTTAGGAAAGTAAGGGGTTTTCCTCTTCTACTTCCAAAATGAGTCTCTGGTTTTAGTTTGGCTTGGGAGTTGGGAATGGGTGCTGGTTTATCTAAAGCTAGGTGGATACCCAAGGAACATTCACATTTGGATGGCCCCTGCCATTGAAGCATGAAATGCTTGTTTGAGCCAGGTGGTGGAGGCGGCGGTGGCACACACCTTTAATCTCAGTGCTCAGGAGGTAGAGGCAGGCAGAGTGAGTTCGAGGCCAGCCTGGTCTACAGAGCAAGTTTTAGGACAGCCAGGGCTACACAGACAAGTTCTGGAGAGAGAGAGAGAGAGAGAGAGAGAGAGAGAGAGAGAGAGAGAGAGAGAGAGAGAAGGAAAGAAAAATAATCCTTGTTTGAAGGACTGAGTATGTGGTTCAGCTGGTAGAGTTCTTGCCTAGCATGCATGATGAACCTTGGGTTCAATCTCCAGCATTGCATGAACCTGGCATACAGTTTCATGCCTGTAGGCCCAACCCTTGGTAGGGTCAGAAGTTCAGGGTCATACTCAGCTATATAGAGAATTTGAAGGTAGCCAGCCTGAGTCTAGGCTACATTTGACTATCTCACCATTAAAAAGTCATTTTAAAAAAATCCAGGCATGGGGCTGGAGAGATGGCTCAGAGGTTAAGAGCACCGACTGCTCTTCCAGAGGTCCTGAGTTCAATTCCCAGCAACCACATGGTGGCTCACAACCATCTGTAATGAGATCTGGCGCCCTCCTCTGTATACATAATAAATAAATAAATAAATCTTTAAAAAAAAAAATCCAGGCATGATGGGGCAGGTTTTTAATCCCAGCACTTGGGAGGCAGAGGCAGGCGGATCTCTGAGTTTGAGGCCAGCCTGGTCTACAAAGTGAGTTCCAGGCTAGCCAGGCTACCTCCTAGCTCCAACGGAAGCCTTCCTTCCCACCCTCTCCTGAGTCATCCTCCAGAGAGCAGTTCACTGCTCCACACAGCTTCAGGAAGTGTAGAACAGGGCCTGAACCTGAACCTCTGCTGGCGGCTTTTAGGAGTCAGTGAAATGGAAAGGAGTAGGTTTGGGGCTTCCCCAGGCTGGCACGATTTTTTCTTTTCCTCTAAAAACAAAACAAGGCCCTGCTGTGTAGTCGTAGCTGGATCTTGGAGGTGAAATTGGTCCCTGTGCCCTGCTGGCTGGCACAGTGGGGATGTCGGAAGCCACAGTTCATTTAGAGCACTGGCTGCAGGGCAGGTCCCCCAGGTTTGGGTCCTGGCCCTGGGGCTCCAGAGCTCTGGCTCAGCCAGTTACTCCTGTACTCCGAGGCTCACATTCCCCACCTTTGGTGATGGCTGGGTTGCGCCCTGGCCTCCCTGGGCAGTGACCGTCCTGCGGAGCTCTTCTTGGGCAAGTTCAAGACTTGGAGCTGTTAGCAGAGCTCCTAAGGTGGGGTCCGTGGTGGGCAGGGAGACCCGGAGGTGAGAGAAGCTGGCCTAGTCCAGGCAGGGGCTGGGGTGCCACATGGCCCTAGGTGAAGAGTCGAAGGGATGGGGACTTAGGAAGTAAGACTGGGATGGGGAGGTGGGGGGCAGTGTCTGGAAAAGGAAGGTGCGTGTGTCAGCAAGGGGTGTGGTGTGCGGGGAGGGGGGGTGGCTAGTGAGAGGATCTGGGTGGTAGTTGTGGGAACCTGTGTGGGCGGAGGCCCGGCAGTGCCACCATCAGATCCCAAAGGACCAGCGACTCCCTGGGAGTTGGAGGAATATTACCAGAAGCGCTGGGGAAAGTGATGAGTAACGGGCACCTGAAGCTGCCAGGCCTTGGGAGTGAGTGCGCAGTCGCGCTGCCTCTTCTAGGCCCCGCCTCCACCCAGCCCCTGAGGGTGGGGCTTCCTCATTGCCAGCTCCCTGGGAAGGTGCCAGAGGCTGTCCTTGCAGGTGCAGAATCTTAAGGTCTCACAGGGCAGGAGAGGTGGGCTCTTTGTCTCCATCCTTACTCTCCAGCTCTAAGACATGGGGTGTAGTCTAGTGCATCCCTGAGGATGGTGGCCCAGTAGGACCAGCTGCTCTTCAGGGGACCCGTACCCAGCACCGTGGGCTTTACCAGGTCTTCCCTTTCAGCCTTTATTAGGGGCCTGCTGGCACACCCTTCCAGCTGTGTCCCTCCTCACTGTGTGACCTCAGGCTTTGCTCTTCTGTCAGAAGCGAAGCTGCCTGCCATTCCTGCCAGGGAGGGTTGCTTGAGTAATCCGATGAGCCCTCGTTCTGCCGTCACCGATTATTGGCTTTCCCCCTTTATTTTCCATATCTGCGTCTCATAATGTCACTGTTGCTGATTCATGGGAAAGTAAGCCCAGGCAGTCTGGCCTTTGATGCCCAAGTATCTTAAGCAGTCATCAGAGAATAAGGAAGATTATCATCGTGCGCAGCCAGAGAACGATGTTCTCCTGTAAAACCTTTACAACAACTGTCCTCCCAGGATGCTGTGACAACAGGCCACGGGAGGGGCTGCTTAAGCAATACCAATTAGTGGTCTCCAGTTCTGGAGGAGGGTTAGGTTCCAGACACCACTTCTCATTGGACGCTTGCGGCCTTCTGTGTGACAGCCTCCATTGCTTCTTTGTGCTTGAGTCCCGTCAGGGCCACCACAGAGACCTGGTTTTCACTTATTTCTCCCAAGTCCTTACCTCCAAATACATGCTGGAGTGAGGGTGCTTGGGATGTCAGTGTAGGCGTTTTGGTGTGGGGTGGGACAGTTTGGTTGTTATCGGGGGTGGGGGGGTGGGGGGGTGGGGAGGTGCTCAGCCAGCTTAGTGCTTTCCTAGCCAGCACGAGGACCTGAGTGCAGTCGTCATGTGAAAAATCTGGGTATGTGGTATGTGTCTGTAATCCGGCACTGGAGGGAAAAGATGGGGAGACCCGTGGGGTTCAATGGCCAGCTAGTCTAGCTTAATCAATGAGCTGCAGGTTCTGTGAGAGACCCTGTCTCAAGAAATAAGGTGGACAGCTCCAGGGAAGGTGACACCCACACTTGGCCACTGGCTTCCGCACACATAAGCACCCATGTGCACCCTCACCCACACCCCCAGGTAAATTCTTAAAAATACTGTTGTCTAATGTCTAGTCCGGATGCTAGCTTGCTAATTGTTCAGTAATTCCACCACCACCCTTAATTTAAAGAGAAGAGGTCACCCTTTCCCTCCCTTCCTCAGTTTCCCGCCCCCTTTCTCTGTGGCTTTTTTGTTTGTTTGTTTGTTTTTGTTTTTTTGAGACAGGGTTTCTCTGTGTAACAGCCCTGGCTGCCCTGGAACTCACTCTGTAGACCAGGCTGGCCTCGAACTCAGAGATTCGCCTGCCTCTGCCTCCCAAGTGCTGGGATTAAAGTGTTTTAAAAAGATTTCTTTTGATTGTTTTTTTTGTTTGGAGACAAGGTCTCACTATGTAACCTGACTGGCTAGAATTCATTTCTGTAGACCAAACTGGCCTCCAGTTGAGAGATTTCACCTCCCTCTGTCCGCCCCCACCCTGAGGGATTAAAGGCATGTGCCACTGCACCTGTCTTATTGTTTTTATTTTTATTTATTTATTCATTTGTGTGTGTGCATGTCTGGTGTGGACATGTCTCCACTCTTGGAGAAGTAGGTGTGGTATTTCCCTGGAGCTGGAGTAATGGGTAGCTGTGAACCGCCATTGTGAGTGTTGGGAACTGAACTGAGGCCCTCTGAAAAAGCAAGTGTTCTTCTTAATGGCTGAGCCATATCTTCAGCTCCCCCCCTCTTTTTCTTGTGTTTTAATTAATTTATTTATTTTTGAAACAAACAGGGTCTTGCTGTGTATCCTTGGCTGGCCTGGAACTTGCTATGTAGACCAGGCTGGCCTTGAACTCACAGAGATCCACCTGCCTCTGCTTCCCAAGTGCTGGGATTAAAGGGATGCGCCACTGTGCCCAGTTTATGCAGTGCTGAGACTCAAACCCAGGCCTTTATACATGCCAGGCAAGCACTGTGCCAACTAAGCCATGTCCCCAGCCCTCTTAGTTGGGTTTGTTTTTTTAGAAAAGGCCCTTCTCTGAAGCCCAGGCAGATCTGGAACTCACAATCCTCCTGCCTCAGCAGCCTGAGTGCTGAGTCGTGAAAAGTGTGTGCCATTACACGTGGGCTGCACTCTCATTTAAACTGCCTTGTGTGAAACTGTGGATGGTATTTATGCTCATGCTTCGGAACCAAATACTATAGCAACGTACAGCAGGCGCCAGCAACTGATGCAGCGAGCCAGGGTTGTCTTGTAGGGTCCTAAGAAACCTCGATGTGACCCATAAAGTCCAGCTATTTATGTCTGCTCATTTGGAAAGATTGCCAACTGATTTAAAATCAGGTTCTGTGTGGACCGATACCAATTGTTTGCAAAGCTGACTGCCATCCAACCAGCCAGGTGCTTGACCATGGACAAACTCAATGGCACAACCGCCTGTTTCCTCCTGTGAGGATTAGGGCTTGTGACGATTCAGAGGCTTTAGCCGTGGGGCATTTTTTTGTTGTTTTTTTTTCTTCTCAAGTTGTGGGAACTGGACTCCATTTGCTCTTGTGAATTAAAAGTATGTCTGACACTGGGTGTGTGGATGCTTGTCTGCAGTCCCAGGTCCAAGGGTAGGAATATCACCAGATTGAAGCCAGCCTGGGCTATACAGTGAATTCTAGGCCAGCCTGGGCTATATAGTGAGACTTTGTGTGTGTGTGAAAAATGGGCCTGTCATTGTCATTCTGTTGTGGGCACCAAGATCATAACTAGACTCCTCCTTCCTCAGCACATCCCTCTGGAATGCTGGCACATGTGACAGAGACACTAAAACCCCACCTCTGCCCAATATAGCTCTGGGCCTGTGCCAGCAGGCACTCGGCCTCTGAACAGACCACCCAACCTGGCTGCAAGTAGGTTTGGAATTTAGAACTTTGAACCCTGTTGTTGTCATGTGGCCATTTGAGAAGTTACCTTCTGACTGCCCCTCCCTCTTTGAACGCCACATCCGGGAGACTGCGCCCACTTAGGAGCAGGGGCAGCGGCAACTCTGATCAACCTAGTGGTGTTGTAGCCCCCGGTGGCTGAAGACTTGGGGGTTTAGAGCAGCTCAGGGCTTTGGAAAGGCTCAAAAGGTGATCTGAGGGGCTCGGTGGTGTGGGTGGAGGGCCGGCCTTGTTGTCCAGAGCTCCTGCCAGTTCTGTACCCATCCCGGAAGCAGGCTGTCACCGTCCATGAGGAACGCAAAGCCTGTGGAAGCCCCAGACAGCCAGCCCACTGTGTGTGGCCTCCCCCAGGCGGTGTGGGATGTTTTCAACCAAGAGAAATTTTTTAAAAATTTATTTGTTTTATGTATATGAGTGACCTGTCTTCATGTACACCAGAAGAGGTAATCAGATCTCATTGCAGATGGTTGTGAGCCACCATGTGGTTGCCGGGAATTGAACTCAGGACCTCTGGAAGAACAGCCAGTGTTCTTAACCACTGAGCCATTTCTCCAGCCCAACCAAGAGAAATTTTAAAGTAGATTCTGTTTTGTTTACCCCCAGGTGCAGACCTCCTCAGCAGCCAGTCACTGTCAACAGAGAATGTGCATGCTGGCCTCCTCCTGCATGTGCCTTTGACTCAGGTAGGTCCCACCTCCTCCTCTAAGGTGTACCCTTCAAATACTGACAGGGGAGCTGGCTGTCCTAGAAGACCATGGGATTATACTCACAGGTCACTTTTGCTGATACGTGGCTCTTATGCTGGGCATTTGCCGTTTGAGGCAGATGCGGGGTGAAACCACATTGGTCCCAGGATGCTCAGGATAAAAGTGAGTGGGGAGTGTGGAATGCATGGCGAAGCTTCGCCTTTATTTGCTTTTTTTGTTTGTTTTTAATTTAGAGAACAAGGGCCAGCAAGATGGTTCTGCAGGTCAAGGCGCTTGCATCCAAAGGCTGCCAACCTGAGTGCCAACCCCGGGGACCCACATAGTGCAAGGAGAGAACTGACTCCCATAGCTGTCCTCTGACCTCCACACACATGCTGTTGGACACACACACATAAATAAAAATTAACACTTTATTTTATTTATATATGTATGTATTTATTTATTTTGGTTTTTTGAGACAGGGTTTCTCTGTGTAGTTTTGGTGCCCATCCTGGATCTCGCTCTGTAGACCAGGCTAACACATTTTAGAGAGAGAAAGAGAGCACTCACAAATGAGCAAGTGAGAGAGGCCTGAAGCCTATTGACCACCTTTTGGCCCTGGCTCTGGGATGGCCCTTGGTGAGATGTGAGACGGGAAGGACCTATCTCCTGGTCTGTGCTACTGGGGCCATCACAGACACTGAAACAACAGGGAGGCTTTTATTGGGCCGGTACAGGACTGTGTCCAGCCTAGTGGCTTGCCCTGTCAGCATAGAGCCTCGTGTTCTGCCTGGCTGACCCTGACCCTGGGTGTGGAGAGGGAACGCACTGTGTCTGCCTTTGGGCTTTGGGAGAACGAAGCCCTGGCTGTTGATAAGGGCACTCTACACTTTACCCACACCTGTGGCTGATTTGAACCTTTCTTTTGTTTTGTTTTGTTTTTCGAGACAGGGTTTCTCTGTGTAGCTTTGCGCCTTTCCTGGAACTC